ACAGCGATCACAGGGATTGTAGTGCTTTGGGTTTAGGGTTTCAGGCTTAGGTTTTGCAGCTCAGGTTTGAGGGCATAGGGTTTTACCTTCAAGCATGGGGAAGGTTCAAGTCTTGGGGATTTTCGTTGCAGCACAGGAGCCATACGGGGTTTGTCAAAACAGGGATACGCTTCCGGGATGCTTCATCACCCTACAAGAGCTAGGACTGTTCTGCAAAAATGTGAGGGGGGTATCCCAAAGAAGAATATGGTTAGGAATGCTCAAAATGCAAAATATGGAAATAGCAGCTATGGGGGATTCCCGGGCACTTATTGGAATCTCTTACAGGGTCTTCCCAAGAGGGTGTGGCCTGGACGAGGCTGTGCACTTGAAAGTATAGGGATAGGGCGTGGTGCGTATTGCAAACTTGTGAGCGACTCGCGATGTGTCTTCAATCTTCTTGAGGCGCTCAGCAACCTACTTGCAGAGTTCTAGGCCAACGATGTTCCTATCCTAGATTGGAGCCCATGGGCCGCAAGCATTGACCCTTAATTCGAGATCCCTATTAGCCTGCTGTACACGATATTCAATGTATGTGCCTGTACTCGATCCCAAGCGCCCCAAGAAGACCTCTAAAAACGGTAGGCTACGGCCCATGCTTCCAATCTTAAGATCCTGCCCCCTGTACCCAAGCAGTGGCGATGCCGCGTCCTTAACGGTGAACTCATTCGGGTTCCCGATGTTTATAGGACCAATCGTTTTTTCCTGCAGCACATGCAAACACGCAACAGATCATGCACAAACAATTCAGTTTTACCCAAGTTTCAACTGATCACATCCCCTCATTTCCAAGCTTTACTATGTCCGCCCGCGCCCGGCTCTTCGGTGTCAGGTGAGGCGACGAGCCCAGCGAGGAGAAGCTCTCTTTGTGCTCTCTTTGTGTTCTGTTCGGGTGGGACAGGACCTCATCGAACCGTCAGCTACCAATTACGTCTTTCTACCCGAAACTTACTGGTTCTAAGCACGGAATAATGGAATATATTACCTAGGGCTTAGATATAAACTGTATTCCCTTATTCCCTACTAAGAACCAGTAGACAAGCCCTTTCTGTTGGCTCACTTCTCATGCCTCTTGAGCCCCTTACAGGGAGCCGACAGCACACAGCTCTGCACTATGGCGCATGGATGAGGGGATACACGCGACACATGTGTAGGTCAGAGCATTTGCAGCACATTGAAGGCAATCGTATTTGCTTTCAGCGATGTTGCTAATGTAAAACCCCTGTAGAGCACCTTTATGACCAGAGTGTCCATTTCATTTTCCCTTTCTTTTCAATTTGATTCTTCTTTATTCGTATATATAACCACTAAGCCGGTGTTATATTGGGATAATGGAAAAGTAAATGGATGCTACTGTTTGAATCTCTTGGCTACCAATCTTCCTGCTAAACCCTAAGCCCTAAGGGAATGGAGGAATGGATCCTTATAGTAGCCCCAAGGTACACCTGAATCGTAAAGCAGCTTCCATGTTCTGTTCAATTTCTCTATACATCCCTATAAAATCCCCATATGCCCCTAGATTCCATTTCATCTTCCAATTGATGATCGATTTGATTCTCCAGCATAGTTGCTTCCATGTTCTTTTCCATGCCTGCATTCCCTACTAACAACCATCAATCCCTAAACCTTAAACAATAACCCCCCTTCTTACCTACTAACAATCCTAAACCCTAAACCCTAAACCCTAACAACCGTCAAGTATAACCTTAACCTCGGCTGAGCCTGATTCATCAGGCGGATGAGGCCATCCACCGTGTCATCCACGTAGCCGAACGACCGCGTTTGCGAGCCGTCGCCGTAGATGGTGATGTCCTGGCCATCAGTTCAGGCTCTGAGTCAATGCTTTACGTGGGGTTTAGGGTTTGGGATTGATAGGATATGGGGTTTAGAGGGTCTGGGGTTTAGAGAGTTTTGGGCTTAGAGGGTTTGGGGTTTAGAGGGTTTGGGGTTGAGGGTTAGGGTTTGGGGTGTAGGGCTTGACTCCCAAAAAGCCATCTCTGCTGACTCTGAAGACCCTGGTCCTAGTCCCTAAAACACCCCTTACTCAGTCCCGAAGTATGCCTGCCTTCTGTTTCTACGTAGAGGTATACATATGCAGACGTTAATGCCACATACTTGCTCATATGCATGTACATAGGTGCATGTGTATACATATGCGGATATACATATATGGCAGGCTATCGAAATCATGACACCTTTTGGGCTCGGAGTGCAATACGGCTTTTCACGATACTGTACCCAGCAGGGGCTCAATTTTTTTGGCAACCGCCCCCATATGTACAAGCTTATAACTACATGACTCTCAGTTCCGAAGCCTACACCCTAAATCCTAAAACTCTAAACCCTAAACCCCGCTAAACCCCTAAACCCCAAACCCCTAAACTCGTAAAACCCCAAAACCCTACACCCTCAGCAGGAAAACCCATCCGACCCAGCTCAGACTCCTCGTCGTGAAGGGCCTGGAGGATGAAATTGCTCACCACTCCTTAGACCCCAAATACTAAAATCCTTATTATTGGGACCCACAAATAGGGTTTAGGGTTTAGGGTTTAGGTACCCCCTAATTTTGGGAAACCCGAATATGAACCCATTACTACATTGGGGAAACTAGGGGATTATCTCTGCGGAGGGCTTGGTGCAGGAGCTGCTACTCATCCCTCCCCTGGGGTTTAAGGTTGTATTGGGGGATTATATAGGGGTTTATAGGATTATATAGGGGTTTATATAGGGGATTACATAGGGGTTTAGGGGTTAAGGGTTTAGGGTTTAGGGTTCTCCCCCTTGGGTTTAGGGCTATATTGGGGTAATATTGGGATAATGGACAAGAAAATGGAAACTAATATAATATGGTTAGATAGGGTTTAGGGTTTAGAGGGGGTATAGGGGTCTGTAGGGTTTAGCATAGGTTTTAGGGCTTAAGATTTTACATGTTACGAGGAGGGGATGACCTCGGAAAACTCCAGGCGCTTGTCATCCAGTTTCGACAAGAAAGCCAACAGCAGAAGGGCCCACACAAGTGGCCCAGAGTTCCCAGCACCCCAAAGCCCTAAACCCTAGGCTAAAGGCTGAGGGCCTTTGTTGCTCCAGTTCTTCGACTGCATGGATTCTTAGAAATCTGGCGGCCTACTAGGCCAATAAGGAAAGCCTTGAATTATGAAACTCCCACACCCTAGGCGCTCCGGCCCTTACCCCTGCATCTCGGAACCCTAAACCTGGATCCCTAAATACTGTTGATATTAAAAATCCTGCATGAAATTAGTATACTATAGTCCCATACTTCCGAAGGTACAAGGTACCTAGGGTCATGCAGGATTTTTAGTATCCACCGTAGGGTTCAGGGTTTGGCGTTTAGGGTTTTGGGTTTGGGGCTTTAGGGTTTAGGGTTTCGGGCTTATGGGATACCCTGAAATGGCACCCCTAAAACGTTTTGCAGACAGAAAGCTGGAGGAGGACTTCAAACTTCAAACTCGTCAAGCCAAGGTGCGCCCATCGTAGGGATGCATACCTCAACTGGGCAGCCGCTACGGAACTCAAATCAAGGTACCATGATAGCGATATGTAGCGAACAATAGGATTTCCTTATTATAGTAACTTAGTTTAAGTTCCTTAACAGCCGCCCAGCCAATCAGACTCTCAAACTCCCCGGTCTCTACTGCCAAAGAGCACATTTGGTTCACGGACACAACATCACACACAAGAACCCTGAACTCTGAAACTTCGATCACCAGACCGACAGCTCTCGTGACCTCGCCTCTGCCAAGGTAACCTCCCTGGTGCTTAGGAGGGAATGGGGGAATGGATTATAGTGACTATTATTAGGAATTATATAAGGACTACTATAGGGATCCATTCCCCCATTCCCTCCTAAGCACCAGGGAGTAACTCTACCTCCCCACGAGTTTCTCCTTCGGTCTTGGAAATTCTGATGCAGTCCCTAAATCCTAAACCAGAATCCTTCTTTTGCAGCTTGGAAGGGTAGGGTCGTACTAAGCCCGCCCAGCTCTTTGTTCCGCAAAAAGACGAAAATATTCCAGGAATCCTACGGACAAAGCCAGCAGGCCGGCACATAGTTCAAAGCCTATGAAACAGTCCCCAACAATCCAAGTACTCAAATAGATCCTATGTAGGTACTTTGGGCCCGAACTACTTACTGGCTACGTACTTGGAACCTGAAAGAACGGAAAAGAGGCTGAGGTCTGTCTGACTCTTCTTCTTGTGCATCTCAAACCCTTCGGCAATAAAACTCTAGACCGCAGGAGGACCCCCCACCCTGTAATAGTGGTATATAACCGGAATATAAGAGGACCCGAATATAATCCCTATAATCCCTTATAGTCACTATTACTGGGTGGGGGGTCCACCTAATCTAGACTCTCATCTGCAAGCCCTAGATCCCAAACCCTAACCCGCAAACCCAAAAGTCCCTGAACCCGCAACCCCCAACATTAGATACCATTCGAAAATCCGAGACACCAGGGCCGTAGGTGTTGAAAATCCTTGCAACGCGGATGTCCTTCGTAGCACTTGGAACTTCCAACGTCAGAGTTTCTCAAAATAGGTCTCACTCCGGGATACGTGGTAGTTTGCCAAAATTAAATAGGGGGACCCCAACATATCTTATGGGGACCCCCCAAAAAGGTACCCTCAATTTTGGGAAACCCTAATCCCTGTAAACCCCTATATAACCCAGTTTCCATTTCATTTTCCATTTTCTTTTCCGTTTGATTCTCCAGTATTGGGAATTGGTACCCATAGGATTACAGAATGGTTTGTATGCTCATCTCTCAAGGCCAGGGTCTCAGGCTGTGCGGAAGCTAGGATGTGACCTGTGCCTTCGAAACCGTGCTTTGCCTTGAGATTTGCCCGACTACTGGAGGAGGCCTCATTAAGATGTACATGTCTTCGGGTTGAGCTCATGTTTTCTGAGCCGTTGGTGTGGACCCACAACTTTGATAAACCCCCTAGTATAGCGGCCACGAGTCCACATTGTTCATCCGCAGATAGTCAAAAGCCAGAGTCTCGGTGACCCGCTTGCCCTCGTCGTAGCAGGACCTTTTGCACTACAGGGAGCATTAAGCTGTTAGAAAACAGTTCGGGGGCGCGATTCGGGTGTGCGGGTACATAGAAAGTGAGGGATTGATATTCGTGTTTGCGCTGGCTACTGTTTTAGAAGGCATCATAGTGAGCCAACGGCAGCCACTAGTGCGAATAGCAAATACTTCTTCCTCATCGTATGCGGTTAAAGCATGGTTTTCCGATGGGCATTCTTGCGGCCAGTATTCTTGTTCTTACGACTATTACTGCTATGATTGTTTGGCTCGGTGGTAACTTCGCCTTCAACAAACATCCAACCCCCCGCCTTCCCCGCCCCCGACAAATGAGACATAGCAGGTATGGCCTGGCATCTGGGCTTTAACGTTAACCGGGTTTAGGGTCTGTAGGGGTCTAGGCAAAAAAGTTTCTCATCTACACGCCTCAACCTCATGCGAATACTGTTTTTTTGTGGTTGAACCTAGTAAGGCTATATTCCTTATATAAAATACTACACCCGCAAAGGGGAAAAAGTCTGTTGTGGTCTAAAGTATCCCCAAATAAAATACTACTCATGTTAAGAACAGACCTACAACAACCCAAAAGCGCTCTGAACCCTAGTCCCCGACTCAGGACGTGTCAATATGTTGGAGACCCCTGCAATAAGGACTACACTACATTGGAGGATACGGGTTTACAGAGTTCAGGGTGTAGTGTTTTAGGGCATTCCTTTGGGGAATATATGGTGGGATTCTGTGTATCTCCTGGAGCCTCACAATGCAGCAGAGATGCCGGACACCAATTGTATTCACGTGGCCCCAGTAATCTTCAGACTGCGGCGTAACCTTTCATAAGGGGAGAGCCATTCCTGGAGGGCCCAACGATGGGACTCTCTATCAGATCCATGTATTTAAGGTTGCAAATGATGGTTGTCAGAACTGTGGTCCCTTTTGGGGCTTTTGGTTGGGAAGGTGGTTGGGCTGTATGCAAGGACCAGGGTACAAGCCATTACAAGCCCTTTTCGTGGGAAGCCCTAGGCTGGAGTTGTGAAAGGTTTGGGTGTGGAACCCTGACCGGTTTGAAGTCAAAGCTCATGGCGCCTGAAGGGTTGGCATCTTCGCTCTTGAGGCGTCATAATTCTTACATATGTATATGTAAATATATATATATATACATATATGTATATATACACATATATACCGCTCTAACTAAGAGTTTCCATGTGACATCTACATATCGTCCCTATGTACTCCTAAATAATTCCCACATCAGGCATAAACGGGGTTGTTAGGTTCCCAGGTTGCTCATTAACATTTGAGCTGTAGTCTACACTCCTAGTATTCCCCTTGACAACCGCCTATGATAGTCCCCTATATACTCCCTTATATAGCCCCCTTTAAGAAGTTTAGATTCTAGCCCCCAAGCTCTAAACCCTAGACGTAAGGGGTTTAGAAAGCCCTGGCTTAAATCTAGGGTTTAAGGTCTAGGGTGTAGGGTACTCATCGTATCCCTCTTAATACCCCTACGATACTCCCCTATGACATCCCTACACAACCCCCTTTAAGCATTTTATGCTAAAGCTCAATATGTGAAGTGGATTTCTGCTGATTACCCCACATCCACATACAGGAGAAGGGGGCCGGTCCCTGATCTCTGTGTAGCCAGTCAGAGATTGGGGTTGCAGGTAGACGCCCAAGCAACTGAACCCTAAACCTCTGAACTCTAACTGCGCCCACTACACTCGACACCACTAACCCCTAACACCTAGACTTACTGTCAATCAAGGGTAGCGGGCGAGCGAAGAAACGTTCTGATTCCTAGAGATTATGTAGGGACTGTGGATATAAAAAAACCTGCAAACCTTAATGTACTGTAGAACCACAATTCCCAGGTTTGGGTACTAGTGTCATGATTGTCATGTAGGATTTTTAATATCCACCGGATGGGTATGGGGACCCACTTTGCGCTCCACTTGGAGCACTAGTAGATTTGGGGTTGAGGGCTCAGGCTAGTGCAAAGGCTTGAGTACTCTCCAAGAACATTCCTTTAGAGTCCTGAGTACATAGCTATTTCACAGCATGCTCCAAAAACGTTATGCTCTTTTCAGGCCCTTACAGAAAACCCATATTAACGCAGAATTCAGTATATTTGCCGCTTTCTTGTCCATTTGACTCTCCATTACTAAGGCAACATCTCGACATAACCTTGCATCTGGTAGTTGCCTGAAACAGGAGGAAAAACAGGGGACCCCAATATAGACCCCAAAATTTTGGAACACCCTAGACCCTAAACCCTATAAATCCCTGTATTATACCCCCTATGTCCCTTCAAAGGTACCACTAGTTTCCCTAGACCTTTGAACTTCTTCAGGGCTTTGACGGCCTCAGGGTCGCCATAGATCTCGCTTGTGGAAGCCTGCAGAATGCGGGCCTTGACCTGGGAGCGGTAAAGGTTTCCCAAAATTAGGCGTACCTTTTTAGGGGTCCCCATAATAAGGATTATAGTATATTGGGGCCTTGATTGGGGTCCCCTTACTTTGGGAAACTACATGGTGGATTCGCAGGGTTTAGTGTTTTCTTTTAGGGCTTAGTGTTTAGGGTTTAGGGACGCAGCCTTTTTGAGCTTGAAGGTGTGTAGGGCTTAGGAGTTAAGGATTTCAAGCAACCCCCCGGCACCCTAATGTCAAGCAGTCCCGAGACTCCGAGAATTGTCATTCGCCCTCCAAAGTAGCAGTCCCTATCCCCATGACAGCAGGGCATTACTCATGAATCCATTCTAGATTCACTGGGCACAGTGAATACTGGAGGGGAACACTAAAACACAACTACAGTTGTGTGTTTAGTTTCTCAGCGTGTCTAGAAGGTCGCTGATATGCCTTATAGGTCTCGTCTCTGGTAGCTTCGGGAAGCCCATTTGACCCATAAACTTTCAAGCAGACCATAGGGATTGTGGCACCTCAACCCCCGGAAATCAGACATGTGATAGGTTTAGGGCCCAGGTTCAGAGATGAGGGATACCAAAATCATCTTGTTACCTCATACATAAGCTCTTCATAACCGGCAGAACCCATTAAATCTCCCATGCTGTTCTCCATTCATTTCGCTTTTTCTGCTCCGTTATTAGGCTTTAACCCCTATATAACCCCTATGGAACCCCTGTATATCCCCATAAACTTCCAACCAGTCCAGGCTTCCATGGTTTAGGGTTTAAGGTTGTGCAATTGCATGCTGAAACCCTTACCTACCGGTCACTTGATTACCCCTTACGCAATTCGCTGGTATGACCAATAACATTGTAGGTGATTGGGGTTGCAGGGAATGTCCCTAAACCCTAAACCCAAACCTAACGACCAACCTTGTCAAGCTGCACGCTTGGCAAGGCCCATCATGTGGATTGTCCCCAAGACCGAGACCTGGGGTGCATACAAGGCTTCAAGGTTTAGGGTTCAGGGTTCAGGGTTTATGATTCAAGGTTTAGGGCTCAGGGTTTAGGATTCAAGGGTTAGGGTTCGTTCAGGGTTCAGGATCACAGCAAGTTTGCTATAGAGGTCCCACGGAAATTCGTGCCGTACTGAAGGAAGAGGCAGGACAGTGTGTGATCTTGACTTCATCCCACAAGCAGGTCAACTTGATGACATGTATTCGATTAAACGGTAGGAATGAGGATTAAATGGCGTGCGTGCGGAATCTCATGGAAACGATGAAATTCGAGTCATAGCAGTCATCATGGCAATATGACGTATAGCTGGAACAAAACCTATCAGAAGCTGCACTAACTGAGACAGGCCTCTTAAAAGCACAGATAACACACAGAAGCATCGCTTTAACAATCACCGTGTTAAAGTATGTACTAATGCCTAAGATTATCGCATGGACAGCTAGACTTATATACATGTATATACACATACGTAGCGTACAACATGAAACCCTGAACCCAACAATCGAAGGACGAACAGGAGCAGTTGCTGCAAGCCCAGCGATGATCATGTTTGCTAAAAGGTGTCCCTGGGCATGAGGTAGACAGGTAATTAGGGGAGTTCTTGACGGATTCAATGCTTTGGGAGAAGCTACGCCGACCTCCGCATGTAGGCTCCACAATAGTTGCCGCATTCCGTAGTGTGGGCGCCAGCATAATTCTAATGCGGCCTTGGGGCATTTGCTATACTACGCATACATGCGGTTTTACTGGGCTCGTCTTCGTAAATATCAAAGCTTCTACATCACAGAGGGTTCCCTGCCTTTGTCGTCTTGATGGGATTCCACTGGTAGTGCACCGGGGAAGCCGGGCACGCCATGTTGTAGATCATATCCTTGGCGCTCCGCAGACGCAGAGCAAGCCCAGACCATCGCAAAGGCAAGCCCTGGTGTTTAGTAAGGAACACAGCCCTACAGAAATTCCCAACAAATGCCCGGGTTGCCAGACAAGTCAGGTGTTCATTAGGCTGGCAGACTCTACATGGCTTGGCGTCAAAACCCAGGAAAGAGCCGCCTGGGCAACTCTCCGGTAGAGAAGAAGTCCCCACTCTGTCTCTGAGCGTTACGTCCATGAATTTGAATGGTACGACAATAACCCAGCAAACTTCCGTCAAAGCTTCGCACTCACAGAAGAATGGCTCTGTGACGTCATGGCGGATGAACCTTGGCATAGGTGATGCCAACTAGCAGGGGTTAAGGTGATAGCTGGTAGCCGCATAAATGTCACAAGCCGAATGCAAAAAGGCCAGTCAAGCGCAGGGCGGCTTCTTCTCACATCACGGTTGAGCGATGTCTAGCATCTTTGCTGACACAGCTATGATAGACACAAATTGGGCTTTTTGCGAACAACACGGAACACCAAGCTAGGTAACAACTGCCCGAGAATGCCTCAAAATGCGCTTAATGAGTTGCAGCAGCTCCAGCACGCACAAAGCTGCGTGCATTGGGGAGGTCTCGTGTTTTGTCAGGTCAACATTCAGAATACACTTCTCAAAACAACATGCTTGAGCCCGGCCAAGCCCAATGAAAAGCCCAAAAGCTCTACAGTGCAATTTAGGGCGAACCCCTCACGCAAGCAAGGTGAGACTGACTAAACACTTAGTAAACAAGTCTAAATACAAAACAAGTAGAGTGGCGAATATCAGTTTCTTGCAAAAGTTATTGTTTTGGGAATAAACAGGCCTCTGATAGGATGTCGACCAGAAGTCATAGTTGTGAACCCTGAATTTTGCCTCCAATATCTCAAACCTTCGCTCCGGGAAGTGTAGGATGTAGGGCAGGATTTGTGTTTGGGACCTTGTGCCCTTCCCTCCCGCTGAACTCCCGACGCCCAAAACCACTTCCCCCCAAAACTCCTACCCCCTAGGCCGATCCTCATCCATCAGCCGATATGAACCCCTGAACCCCTGAAAGCACATCAACCCATCCCTGCAACTGGCTCCTTACTGGGATACAACAACTGAAGAACTTCTTGCGATTACCATTGTGTTATTTGTGTTACTAGTGTTCTTTATTGCTATTGGTATTCTTCATAATTTTCTTACTGGTAACAAATGATCTAAAACACGATAATCCGCTCTAGTCCCAGCTTTCTTTTAATTTTCCATCTTCTGGTCCATTGTTGACCCTACATAACCCCTAAACCCTAAACCCTTTGCAAGGCTTAGGAGCTCGAAGCGTGGGTGGCCCATGAGGTCCGAGATGCCTCCGAAACGCTCTGGATCTGAGTTAGGAAGAAACCCTAAACCCTGAGCCATACACCCTACCCTACACCCTGAACCCTGAACCCTTAACCTTAAAGCGTAAACCTTGAACCCTACACCCTGAACCCTAAACCCCTAACCCTACACTGCCAGAAGAACCACACAACCAGCAGCTGGGGCCCAGCTACCCGCACGTGAGAGGAGAGTTTGCCTCCCTTTAGATATAGGGATTCTATAGGGATTTAATAAGAGTGGGTAGGGATATATAAGGATTTTATAGGGGTAGAAAAGGATTTCATAGGGATATGTGGGGATGTATAGGGATCATGTTTTTAGGGATACATAAGGATTATATAGGGATTATGTAGGGTTATGTAGGGGTTATATAGGGATTGTATAGGGATATAAAGGGATATATAGGATTATAAAGGGATATAAAGGGATTATATAGGGATGTACAAGGATATTCCCTTCTATACTCGAGAATAAAAAAGGAAAATGAGGTGGAAAGGCCAAGCACGGCTGGCAAGTGTGGACAGGCTTGCAAGTGTTTAGGGATTTAAGGTTGGGGATTTAGGGATTTAGGGTGTAGGATTTAGGGATGTAAGGTTTACGATTTAGGGTTTAGATTTTGGGGTTCAGGGCCATGCATGAATCCGGACCAAGGGATTATTCTGTGCGATTCAAGGCCTAGTCAGTATGCGAGCTACCCGGGGAACCCTCCCGCAACCTCTCAAAATGGGCCCACGCTCTCCAGACTAGGTGCTGACTCATCCACCGAGAATCCTCTTCTTGAGGGGTGAAAATTTTCTATCACACGCATCACATACAAAAATATTCCGTCAATCTTTCGGGGAAGAACGGCGTGAAGCCACGGAGTGCCTGATCGAGTGGAGGTGAAGTAGTTGTCGAGGCACATCACCTGGCTGCAGTGCTTTGTGTCGCTGAAGACCAAATTTCGGACCGTGTAGAGAGGGTATAAGGGTTATATAGAGGTTTTGTAGGGGTTATATCGGGAATATGATTAGGGCTTAGGGTTTCCCAAAACTAGGGGTCCTTCTCAGAACCGTACACCATCTTGGGTCCGTCGTACTATGGCACCTGCTGCTTTGATACAAAGTGGGACCTGGATTTTGGAAAGTGCCTGAACTAACGATGCTATTCGGACGTGTCGAGGCATCCTCAGGCAGGGACAGTGACATATTCGTGGTATCTGCGGCTCTTGCTGTAAGCAAATACACATTAAGGCTCAGGCTTGGTTTCAGCTACTTAGGGGCCCACTGGAACTAGAACAACCCAATTGCAACGCAGTTATCATACAGCAATCAACCCCCTAATTCCCCAAACTAACCAGTTGGGCTGTAGTCCCCCTTAAGTAGATAGAATATGGCTTTGGGTACATTTTCATAAGATCCCCATATACCCCATATTCTATGTACTTAAGGGGGACTATAGAGCTACGTAGCTTGCAGTCACCCTGGACCTCAAAGCCAACCTTGTGATTGTACCTGGGTGCTACAGCCCAAACCGCAGAACTCCATCCAAGTCCCTGGGGTTTAGGGTTTAGAAGCCGAAGCTCAAAGACAGTAGAACATCCCCTATAAACGCTAGACTCTCGCTCAGCCCAAAATCCAGAACACTCAGGGTACAGTTTGGGGAGTTTCTCGATACCTTGAGGCCCCGCAATAGGGGTAGACGGGGCTTTTGCGGAGATAATAGCGGTCCGCAGCTCCTTAGACTCACTGGTGCTTACGGAGGATGGGGCATGAATACCTATAGTGCTACCTATAGCTCCATGTAAATACACGCCTATAATCGTACCTATGTTCCCTCCCAACTCCCCCTTGAGCAGCAGTACTGAAAGTCTCAGCTCTAAACTGTGCATATGACTATAAATCCCTACATGTACCCGTATATATCCTGGTATATCCAAATATGTCCGTATGTATCCCTATGTATCCCTATATACTATATATCCCTATCTACCCCTATATATCCCTGTATATCCCAATAAAATCCTACATTTCACCATATGGTAGTTTCCCTAAATAAGGGGACCCCAATATAGACCCCAATATACTATAGTCCTCATTATAGGAACCCCCAAAATGGTACCCCTAATTTTGGGAAAGTCCCATATATATCCCTAGATATCCTGACGGCTTACCTCGTGGCCCTCGGCTAGGAGACGCCGGCAGATGTGAGAGCCTGGCCCAGACCACAAGTCGCGGTGCAATGTTTAGTGTTTAGGGCTTAGGGTAACCCTAAACCCTAAATCCTAAACCCTAAATTAGGGCTTGGGGTT